CCTAGTCCATCTTCGTTCTGCTTCTCTACCAGAGGAACTCTTGGTTTTAAACTGGGCTGGAAGACCTGGGGGACCCTAAATGATACAAAGAAGTGAAGGAGAATAAAGGGGATGGATGCCTCAGAAAATCATACAGGGACACAGAGTCAAGAGAGCCGTGCAGTCTTGCAGTGGTCTTCTCATGGTGATAAGGAAGTCCTTGGTACTCTTGGGTCAAGTCTGGTCAATTTTTTTCATGCAAAGATGAGGAAAGAGGCCTAGGCCAGCCCAAGGTCTCACACTTCCCATCCTCCACATCCTGTTGATTCTGTTGTCTTTATATCTTTCAAAGGAGGATAAAGTTTAAGGAAAGAAAGAAAGATCAACTGCTTAATGCTGTTGGAATCTTAAGTAAAAGATGCTTTTACTTCATGGATTTTATCCCAATGTTCAATCCAATATTTATTTGTATTTATTTGTTCTGTTTGTCTTCCTCCTGTTACAGTTTAAGCCTCATGAGGGAAACAATTCTCACTGCTTCATATTTAGTGCTTGACACATGCCCTGAACACAGCAGACACACAGCCCAACCAACACACAGTGACATTCCGATGAGATTCTCACCTCTTCCAATGCCAAGAGAGAACGTCCGTGGACGTGCCACTGTCGTCACCACCACCCCCAACCATGAGGGCCAGAAGTGATGGCTACTTCTCTCCTCCAGCCACCAAAATTTAGATGCCACACATTTGGCTAAACCAAGTTTTGCCCTGCTGAGAAGAATGGGGAGTTGGGTGCTGAGTTACAGGAAAATAATCTTACTTTAATTTATTCACACCCTCAAGATTATGACCTGGAAATTTGCATCTATTACCAAATTGTTCCTGAACAATATTGACTTCCTATACAGCAAGCAATTCCTTGGTCAGTGAGATGTCTGGACAGGCTTCCCAGAAGAGTAAGGACTTGGGCTAACAATATAAAAGGGCAGAAATATCAGAGTGATGATGCTCCTGACATCACTAAGTCACTGGACAACCTGTGCACTGATACTGATAATCTGAGCCTAATGCTTCTCTATATGTTCTTTGAGACCGAACTTTGATTCAATGATAATGACACCAAGAAAGAAGATAAGCCATTCAATGTTGATGAGGACACTGTGTTTGCCTTACATCTATAATTACTTTTCCTTGACTGTCTAGCAATTATTTGTTTATTTGTCTTCATTTCCAAAGAGAATAATGTCTGGGTCTTAGTCACCTTTGTACCCTAATCACTTCAAGCAGAAATTTGAAAGTACATGATGAATTTTTTGATACAGGAGCACACAACAGACACAGGGTGGTTGGGGTGTTCTTCTGATACGCAATGTCTTCCTTCACTTGTTCAACATGACTCTTACTATGCAAATCTCTTCATGTTAGAAGGTGTTACTTTCTCTAGAATTAAGTAGCACAAAGAATATGCCTTCTATTACTTACCATTGCAGAACAGGTCCATTGACAATGGTTGGGACACGGCGCTAGCTACATTTCAGTTCCAACCAATGACTAGTCTATAGTGTTGATATAGATTCCATCCAATCAATTCAGTTCCTGAGGTTCACAGGACAAATGAACGGTCATGTCAGGCTTAGTTACTTGTAGGCAAGTATGTGTTTGGAGGAAGATGAACAAATTAATTTTTATAGCAGTTTTGTTTCAAAAAGAATAAGAAAGGATTTAAGTTTAGGTGAGCTAATTAAGTTGTTGATAGTTATCAAATGACACTATAACCTTTCCTAGTGTGAATGTATTCTGTGGACCTCTCTGTTTGGAAGCATGAAGAGGGAGATACTCTCAACAATACCATTACTATGGTCAGATTTTGCTTCTTTCCTTCTCCCTGCTGGAATGAGATAGAGTACTTTGCTCTGGTAGACCCACGGGGGAGCTGCAGTGAGAATAACCATGGAAGAATTTGGAGATACCTCAGGGAGCTAAAAATAGAAATACCATTCGATCCAGCAATAGCACTATTAGGCATCTACCCAAAAGAGCACAAAACATTCTACGATAAGGACATCTGCACCAGAATGTTTATGGCAGCACAATTCACTATTGCAAGAATGTGGAAACAACCCAAGTGCCCGTCAATCCATGAGTGGATTATCAAAATTTGGTATATGTTCACAATGGAATATTACTCAATCATAAGAAATGACAGTGATCTAGCACCTCTTACACTTTCCTGGATTAAACTTAAGCCCATTATCCAAAGTGGAGCACCACAAGAGCAGAAGAACGGGACCCATTTGTACTCACCATCAAATTGGTATTAACTAATCAACACATAAATGCACATATCAGAACAACATCTACTGGATGCTGGGGAAGGGGGAGGGCAGTGGGAGGAGGGGGGAAGAGGGAGGAGGGGAGGGGTATTTGTATACACAAGGAGGGCAATGTGCACTACCCGAAGGATGGACGTATTTGAAACACGGACTTTGGTGGGGGGGGAACCAAGGGCAACACACGTAACCTAAACATCTGTACACCCATAATTTGATGAAAAAAAAAAAAAAGAATCTCAAACAATTTCCTGTTTCATTCCTGAGTCTCCTGATGGCCCACAGTGAGCCTTATCAGGGAACGGTGGGTGTTGCATACTGACGTACAAGACCAGCAGAGGACTTTTCACCTCTTTCATGTTAGCTTTATGTATAATATTTTCTTGTGATCATACCTGCTGGGAAATCAATGACAATCACTGAGCCTCAGTTTCTACATCTGTAAACCAGGTATAGCAGCATAATCCTATTTAACACAGCCCAGAGGAGCCACTGAAAAGAGACAGAAATTTATCAGAATTCTCTGGCCTTTTATCTTCCTTGTCCTGGGGATTTTCTCTCAGCCTCCCATGTCTGTCACTTGTTGATATTCAAGCTTTGCAGCACTTCTTCTTCTAATTACCTCTCTGTAGGGCTGCATTTACCCAGAGGCTCCAGAGGTATGCCATGTGCACACCACCATCCAAGAGCATTTATGAGTCTCTCTCCCTCTACTGGGAGGCTGCTCCCAAGGACAGGGACCATGTGGCTTCCAGGCATGCCTGGCACAAAACTGGAACATGACATTCACCCCCTGTGCCTTCAGTCAGTACATAGACAAATAGAAGAATTCTTGCATAAGCTTTCCAGGGGCAGCTATGGATGGTAACAGGTTGTTTCCCAGTGAAATCCTTTATCTAAAGATGAAAAACTATAATGATAGACATTTCAGGCTGTTTAACCAGCTCCCAGGAAAACAAAAGGAGTCTGGGGACATAGTTGTGACTTAATACATTTTATCAATGAGAGGTCCACCTAGTTGGCCAATGTTAAGCTAATCTGGAGACATACAGGCCACAGGATGGAAAGAGTTGGTGAGGGCTGAGTAACAATTTGTAGTAGGGCTGAGAGAAAGGATAACGAGAGAAGGAAGTGCACAAACTCAGCCTAAATGTCTTCTCTTTCTTCTGAGTTTTAAGAACTTCGAGGTTTTATTTGTCACGTAATTCATGATTCTTCAGGCCAAGCAGTCCACGTGATAATAATGAGCTGATATAGTTTTCACTCTTGCCCTCTTGCTCACTCTTGCCCTCTCCCATCAGAAATGGATCTGAGAGCTCATACGGGACAAGAATTGTCACAATGACAGCCCTCTCCTTACCAGCTCCTGAGACATACTCTTCTCCATTAGAAAATCCTCCACTCCTCAAAATGCAGAAAACCATCTGCTTTGAACACCACTGCCCACGTAACAAGGCTCAGATCATCTTTCCGGAGTCCTGGGTACTGTGTATGCCTGTAGGGATCTCTGCCTCACCATTGGTGGCTTTGGTGGTTGAGGTCCACCTGGACATCCGGGGCCGCTATTGTCTTCCTCTCTCCTTTCACACTCATTGTTCCCTGACCTGCAGTCTTCCCTGAGAGAGGGGGCCATTTTTTGTTCAAGAATATGTCTATCTTGCTGTCTACTGCAGGACCTCCTGCAGGTGCATAAGAAGCAGCAGAAATGATACTCTAGGGTGCAGCCATCAGCTCCATCTTGTCCACACCCTGTCCTCTCAGGAGCCCTCTTGCCTACAGAACCACAGTTGATCAGCCTGAACATGCAGAGATGGGGGCTGAGGCACAGCCAAGTGCTTTTCCTGGATTAATAATTGAGGAAGATGGTGGGTTTACGACAGTCAGAGGGAAAGGACACACAGGGGCCCAGCCATATCACCAGCTCAACTCCAATAGCCTTTTTGGATGCCCACTGTGTGAGAAGCACTCTATTAGGGGCTGGGAACACAGCCGTGAAAAATACCAGACTGTGCCCTAATTGTGCCCTGGAGAAGCTCACCATCTGCCACGCATCACAGATGTGGAAACCTACAATAGTGGTAGAGCGTAGAGTGGACAATAGCAGAATTGCATGAGGGGGATAGGAGTTGCCCAGAGGAGGAAGTGGTGATAGCTGTGTTGGGAGGTTGGGTAGGGAAGACTCTAAGAGAAAGGTCTGTGTTCCTGGGTTTGAAGGAGGAGTAAGAGTGTTCCAGAGGCCTTAGGGGCAGTGTAGGCAGAGGAAACTACGTGGGTAAAGATCTGGAGGCATAGCTTCTTTGGATGCGTTTCTCATATTTCAAAATGAGGGAAGCCCCAGAAACAAGGGCAGATTAGAGGAGATTTAAAGTCAATGGCTTTACCTGAGTTTATAATATGAACCCATAACCTTTGAACTTAGTGATAACACTGATTGAGCCTCTGTGATTTCCTACAGAATATGAACTCTAGGAAGGTCAATGTGGATGTGTTTATGATTCTTTGCCAACTGCCAAGGCTCCTCTGATGGTGGGTGGAGCACAGGTGGCCCTGCTATTGGCTGCAGCTCTGGTCCTGCCTCCTTTCCCAGCACATAAACATTCCAGCCAGGCTCCACACATGTAGCCCAGCAGCGAGCAACACACAGCTGAGACAACAACTCAGAGAAGAGAACTGAAGAAGGAAAGCAGAGATGGACCTCATCCCAGACTTTGCCCTGGAAACCTGGGTTCTTCTGGCTACCAGCCTGGTTCTCCTCTATGTGTGAGTATCTGTCCAAGCTCCACTGTTCTGTAACTTTAGACATGGGGTACAATCTGGCACCTGTTTCTCTTATCTGTTTTGAAGATCAAAGGAGATAATTGAGGGAAAGTTGCTTAATTGTTGGATGCTACAAAAACATACGGTTGTTGATCTTAGGTAGATCTGTGGAAAGAATAAATAAAACTCCCCCGACACCATCCATCTCCCAAGTTCTCTAACTAGGAGCGTTTAGTGACGGCATTTGGTCCTGGGGCTGATTTCTGATTGACCATGAGTTTGCACCTAGACTAATCAACCAGAATTCAGCACAGGCAGATTATAAAGAACTGGGCACTGTGTGCTTGGGATCCTCACCCTCTTCTCAAGCAAGCTCTGGGGATTGTAGGCACAGAAGAGGGTGGCTTGGTGATTGTCTCTTTAACTTCCCCTCTGGGTTCTGTGTCTGCTGCAGTATATGTGTACAGAGATTGTTCCCAGGGTGGCTCCTGCTCCCCTGCCTTCCACCCCAATCATGATTTACACAGGCACCGTGGGGTACCCCAGAGTTCATGGGAGGCTCTCCCTTGCTTTGTTCCTCTTTTCTGTGCCATCCCCCAGAACTGTTCTTGCTCCTATAATTCAACTCCTCCACCCAGTAATATGAAGAATTATTTACCTCTAAATGGTGGATATTTAGAGCAGCGGAGAGATCTGGAGAAAATCATGGAGTTTTATTTTCTTTCACCTTTTTTGTATAGTGTCTGGGTGGTTAGCATTAGCATAGAGCTTTATTTCTCCCCTGATATTAATGTGCAAGAGGCCTGAGAAGCAGGAATGACAAAATCCAATTTAGATTATCTTAATCTGTCAGTCTAAAGCAGTATGTGAGCCAGTGAGCCAGTGGGGATATAACAGGCACCCAGGGAGCAGGCAGGATGAATTAAGAGAATATTCCTCATCCCTCATGGCCCAACTCCTAGAGATACTTGTGGGTTCTGGCCCCCATTAGAGATACTTCATGGCACATGGGCTGGCATCTCATCTGCTTAGGCACAGGGACACCATCTGTGTCACTCTGTGTGTGGTGTCTCTGGTAGTGAACCTATCGTAGACATTCAGGCAGCCTGGAAAACAATACCTTAGCTCCAGAAGACACTGGTGCAACCCAGGAGTCCATAGCTGTAGCATAGACAATGCCCTATTTATGGCAACACAATTAAACACAAGAGAAATGATTGGGTTTTCCTATTACCCTTCATTGTACCAAAGGAACATTACCAAAAAGAGGAGAGCTGGTAAGAAACTAAGAAATTCACCCAGCCTGTCCTCTGCTTTATAGGGTCCCATGCAAGTTTAGAAATAGGCTAGATCTTTCCTTGGGGGCCAATGCTGTCGACAAATTAGCTTCACTGCATGGCCTCACTTGAGAGTTCACGTATCATGTCGAAGTTCAGAAACAGAGATTAGTTTAATGGGTTTGCCATGGTAACAGTAAAAAAAGGAAAGGACTGGAGTGGGAATAACCAAAGCCTCCCTGGTTTTTCAGTTGGTGCAGACACTTCCACTAATTCTTCTGGCGGAAGGATCCAAGTGGGCCTAGCTGAGCTGCTGCTGCTGGTCCTTCCAATATATGTACTTTCACGTCAGTTTTCAGTTTTATTTTATCACATATTATAAGATTTACTGGATTTGTACAGAATATTTGGAAACTATACTGGCCTAAAAACTAATCTGCAAAGAAGAGGAAATAAGGTCTTAATTCAATTAGCTGGAACATTTTAGAGTTATTTATGTCATGTAACATAATGTACTTATGCTATCAAGAAGAAGGAAGCTGAACTTTGGAAGGCCCTTCTCTTTCAGCTAACACCACCTGTGGGAAATATGGAACCATTTATACACACCATACTTTTCAGCCACACTTTCTTCATTTGCCTCTATAGGGCCAACCTTGTGGGCCTAGAAGCTTCACGGTTAGCTTTGTGCCTGGGAGCCACTTTCCTCAGCCTCTCTACTTCCTCCCATTTGCAATCACTCAGTAGCACCACAGTGGGAAGGTCTGCAGGGATCCAGAACCCCCAGTTGGAGGAGGCCATATATGACACATCAATGATGTCTGCACCAGCATTAATGGATTTTCCTACAGAGGGAGTTGATGTGCAGAGGCAGTGAAATGACTGCTTTGTAATTGGCCACCTTGGGAAAAATGAGTGTGCCTGGCACTGTGCTTCTCAGGGATCACCTGTTGGAGGACCACATTCCACAAGGGGAGGAAGAGCCTGGACATGGATTCTGTAGTCATTGGTTCCTCTGCAGAGTGTCATTCTGGGAACATATAGGGGACCCATCCTTCCCTATGGCTCAAGTTAACCAGATCATCTGACCACGAACACTTGAGTGTAGATAAAAGTGCTCACTTTTCTACAAGTCCAATGGAAGCCTTGAACACTGTTGTCATTCTATAAAAATAAGTACACTGTGAATCCTCTAAGACCTCCTTCTGAAGGTGGTTTTACAAAGGGCCAGATCTTAAAACAGGGTCAGATTTTAGAGAGAAGAGAAAGTATGAACCTCAGAGCAAACCCTAAGAACAATGTCACCATAGGCTGTGGTGACCGTCTGTGATTGAGCACATGCACTTACACAAAATCACATCATTGAAGGAGAAGAAAAAAAATTTACACCTTTTTTACTGAGAACAAGAATTTCCAAATCATAGAAGCGTTAATTTACTAAACAGACATAAGAGAATGAAATGCCCTGGGAGAATTCCAGTCTGAACCACTCAAGGAGCATTCCATTTGGGGGACATTTATATAAAGTATTCATGCCAGGATTGGATCCGTGAAGATTTCAGCTCCTTTTGGCTGATCATTTTGACTTGGGGTGGGTCTCACACAGGAGGCAGGAAAGAAGATGATGGGTGAATGCAGCTATTGCTGTTGGCATTGCAGTTATTAGGTATTGCCTAGGCATGACTTCTCTGTCTTGGCCACTGCAGTTCCTTAGTCAGTTACTGGACAGCTCCCGTATCTATAAAACCATAATCCCTGTTACTTGGCTTTCTCTTTCACTTTATAGATATGACACTCATTCACATGGACTTTTCAAGAAGCTGGGAATTCCTGGGCCTGCACCTCTGCCTATTGTGGGAAATGTTTTGTCTTACCGAAAGGTGGGTTATTTTGAACTCTTTCTTTTGCTTCTTATGGTTGCAAACACCAGCTTATTCCATTGGTAAAAATATCCTTCCTTTCTGAGGTTTTACACTTCAGAAATGATGTGTAGACCACACCAAGAGCATGGTCACGTTCATCCTGTTGTCTATTCTCGGGAGCCTCAGGGTTGGCTCAGTTGAACAGCCCAGATCTCTGGCAGATCAGAACTTAGTGTTCCAGGCTTGATGTTCAGACTTTGTGCGCAAAGACTTTTTGCCTAGTGCATATTCACAGGGAGGTACAGTCATACTTAGAATTAGGAGAAATGCAGGAAGTGGGACCCCTAGTAGTGGCTCATTAAGCTTTAAGCACCGAATTCAAACTTCCTTGTTTAGCAAGAGCAATTGAGTAGCCTTGTTTTCCTTCCTCCTGCACAGCTTGGAAACTTCAGTTTATTATGCAGCTCTTGTATTCATGGGGTAATTTGTACCTACTTGAATCCTCTCAAAAACTGCCAAATTCCCTCTGGGTACTTTATAGTTGTACCCCAGCTTTTGCTCTCCATGGTATATTTTGGAAATTTACCAGGCAGAACAAGAGAATTGTGCTTTGTTTCTTTTCCTTGAAAGGCAGTACCCTCTGGGTGAGTCTGAGCAGACAGTGGATATAACTGAGACAAGGTGGTGGTTGTCCATTGACTTCAGATACTTAGCCATGAAATGAATTTTGTTTTCTTTTGTTTTGTTTTAACAAAAGCAGACTCGCTTTTGCAAAATATCTATAAAGGAGATGATTTGACAAAATTACCAAGAATTTCCCGGGCGTGGTGGCTCACACTCATAATCCCAGCACGCTGAGAGGCCGAGGCAGGAGGATCACTTGAGGTCAGGAGTTGGAGACCAGCCCGAGCAAAAAGGAGACCCCCTGTCTCAGTGAAAAATAGAAAAAAATTACGAAGACATGGTGGTGTGCACCTGTAGTCCCAGCTACTCAAGAGGCTGAGGCAATAGGATTTCTTGAGTCCAGGAGTTTGAGGTTGCTGTGAGCTAGGCTGACAAGACCACACTTTAGCCAGGGCAATAGAGCAAGACTCTGTATCAAAAAAAAAGAAAAAAAATTACCAAGCATTTAAACTAATTGTACTATAATTGTCATGAGGACTATGAATTATGGCCAAGCCATTGTGGCTAATTCCTCACTCAGGGCTTGGCCCCTAAACATAAAGTCATCAGCTCACATCCATGAGGCGACCAGCAAAGCCTGTGTGCAGACTGGTCTCTGTGCCCGATTTCCTTTCCCGCACACCTCAGGCTTCTTGCTCAGATTCTAATTCTCCCAACTCAGGCATTTCTTGCCTAATTACTGCCTAAGATTCCATATTTTTCCCTCTGCAAAAGCAATAATATCCTGTTCACTTTGCTCAGATCAGCACTTCACTAGGTGTACCCCAAGATCCATATTTGTGGGACCTTCTTTTGCATAGTTAAAATATCGCAACTGAAACATAGCACCAGGAAGATTTGTTTTTGAGCTTCAGAAGTGAAGACTTGGAGCAAGTATGGTAATTTGTCCCACGTGAAGAAGCTGCGTTTCCTGATCATTTCCATTTTGAACTGGACAGCAGCAGGCGAGCCCATTTTGTCATTTCCTCTGTCACTCGTTACTCATTTTCTCACTCAACAACATGCCTTAGACTGATAGAAATCTGTAGACCAAAAGAGGTCCCTGATGTCTTTGACTTCCAAATTCCACTAGAATTCTAGAGAAAACTCCTGAGATAAATGAAAAGGATACTGCATGAGATGAAAGAATGTGCATCCCCCTAGACACTTGCTCGCTCTCCCTCAGCCTCAGTTTCCTCACATGCCCATGCAGGTGACCATTCAGAGGGTTATGAGACGTTAGAAAGAAAACGTGCATGTGAAAAAACACTTCAGAAATACGGGGAGTTATTTAGCATTCATAAACAAGGGCAATTCATTCTGTATCTACAATATTTGGAGAAAATTCAAGGTTGACATTAAATCATCCATTGCAATTATCTCCTCTATTTCCCCCCATTCCCTTGAACATCTCTGCACGAAAGGTTTCCTCTTACTTCCAGTGAAACATAGTCAGCCTGATTTCTTCAGATTCCACTCTTTTTTGCCCGAATAGAGGCAGGGTTGAGGATATTTAAAATACCAATTGAATTTTATGTTGTTTCTCTTCCCAGGGACTTTGGAAATTTGATGAAGAATGTTATAAAAAGTATGGGGCAATGTGGGGGTGAGTATTCTGGAAACTTCCATTGGATAGACTTGCTGCTATGATGATGTACCCTACACATGAAGGACAGTCTCAGCCCAGAGCCTCTTGGGAGGAAGCCGCTGTCAACCAAAGTAACAGAGAGAGGCTCTCTGAAAGAAGAAGATGTTTATTTAGGAGTAAAGCATTCCAATGGAAATGTGCACGCTATAGCAATCTATGTGCCATTCAGGGAAATAAAGGAAGAAAAGGGTTGTTAAAGGGAAAAATGAGCAGGATAATAGAACTATTTTGAAATAATTATCCGTAGCTACAAAGATCAATAACAAGGGGAAACCAGTCTGAGGCTGGACAGACAGTTACTGGGCAGATGTCCTCCATGAAATACTTTTACTCTAATAATACTGTGCTCTTTGTGCAAGGTGTGGTTTTTGTTGAGTATTTTTTGACGGTTTTGTTTTTAGGCATGCAAGCATGAGAATGCTTTCTTCAAAGTCTTCCCAGTATCTGTCAGGTTTTATTAATTTTTATAACATCACTGTGACTCCATTTTGGTTCTGACAACTTTCACACTCTCTACTGAAAAGCTTTTGGAGGTTTATCCTCCAAGAATTCCATAGGTCACCACGTGTTAAGGTCTGTGGTCTCAGTGAGGCTGAGAATGCTGCAGGTGACCATTTTTCTCCAGGTTTGATGGCCCAGGGACACCCAGCATCACTTTCTATCCAGTGTCTGGCTTTTCACCTCTTCTCCTCTTTTCCTACCTTAGGTTACCTTTAATTGAATGAAATGCTTCGTTTCTGACTGTTATAATATGTGCTCATAAATGGATGGCACTAACTCCCTCCCACAGTGATTCATTTTTAAATAAAGCCAAATTCTTAAATTAAACTTTTTTTTTATTTCAGCAAATTATGGGTGTACATATGTTTAGGTTAGGTGTGTTGCCCTTGGTTCCCCCCCCCCCACCGAAGTCCGT